TGAGCTATGAAGTGAGCTATGCTACTGACACAAGTCACCAACAGAGATGGTGAGGGCAGAGTGGTACACACACACACACACAGTTGACCTGTGAGATACATAAACCAAGAGGACTCCACTCAGGCTTTGAATAATAAGTTTGTGCTCTGAATTTACTGCTGAAACATTAGTGTTTTTTCTTTAGCAGTTGTGCTGCGAGGCAAGAGGGCCTCCAGAGAGCCTGTCGTGAGGGCCTCGAGAGGTGTGATGATAAGCAATGCCTTGTTGTTTCTTCACTTGTAATGGTAAACATTTTCAGCACAAATGCATCTTGCTTTTTCTAAGAGCTTGCGGAAATGATTACTTGGGAATTCTTCCACGTCTGTTAAATATGCGTGCTTGTGTGCGTGCTTTTGTGTGTGTGTGTGTGTGTGTGTGTGTGTGTGTGTGTGTGTGTGTGTGTGTGTGTGTGTGTGTGTGTTATACAGCATGGCTGTGTGCCACATTCCGGGTAGATAACTGCACAAGGCCAGAGCACGTGGCCACGACAACGCACACTTGGTTCCAACAAGTGCCAGGTTGCTGGCACCGCGAGTGCCTGCTTGGTGCCACCCCCATCAGCAGCGCGAGCTGGGTGGAGGTGATGAGTAATGTGAGGGTGGAAGAGAGGTGGTGGTGGTGGTGTGGCGCGAGATTAACCGCACTATAAGAGGAGTGGCGCTGCCGGCCACTGCAGGGAGGAGAGGGCGAGTGTCAGGACCCACGGCCACCCACACCACGCCCACACCACGCCCACACTCCCTGAGGTTCTCCGCTGGATCGCTGCCGTCTTATCTGTGGGGAAAAAATTGGGTTTATTTATAATTATTAGTGTAAAACTAATAATACAATTATATCTACCGAGTAGTCCTGGCGTAAAGGCTTGCCGCTTTCCCTTGAAAATTCCCTCCCTCCTCTCACAAAGTTGCCTGCCCTTACAGTCATCAGGAAGGCCGGTGCACGCCAATTTAAACATTCCTGTGACCTTTCAGTAAAAAAATATATATATATATATATATATATATATATATATATATATATATATATATATATATATATATATATATATATATATATATATATTGTACCTAGTAGCCAGAACACAGTTCTTGACCTACTATGCTGAGGAAAACTTGTCATTTAACTCTGAGTACGTATGAGTGTTCACTTCTCCTACCACTCTTTTTTTAATAATATTAATAATATTATTTCATTGTGCCCAGTTTATACATTCAGTACATGTTAGGCTTATATCCAGATCCCACCGAGGGCCAAATTACTGACCCCCCCTCCCCCCTCGAACTCCTGGGTACCTATTTACTGGTAGGTGAACAGGTTCATTAGGTGATGGGAAACGTTCCCAACCATTTTTGTCCCGCCTGGGATATGAATCGTGAATTCTCGATTGTGAGTCGAGAACGAACCCGGCTGTACCACTGGGACCTTCTTGGACCCGCATATATAAATGCATTCGCTTTGAAGCATTGGAGCCACGAACCACAGACCACAAAAGCTCTGTCCGAAGCTGTACCAACAGAGCCACAATAGAGGAGGAGCCCCAGAGACAGCAATCAGTTGTCCAAATGTTGACAAGAAGCAATTTAAAGCTGTTGTGTGGGCGAGTCTCTCCCTCTGAACTACTCTAACAGCTTCATCTCGCTTCTTAATAACGCGATCCTGTACCTTCCTCACACCTCCCTAAGACGCCTCTCCTCGTCACTCTCTACCACTTCCTTCACCTTAAGCCAACCACTCCTTAGCCTTCCCCAGTCTCCTTGTCTCTCCCCCAGCCACACCGTGGGACGAGCGGTGGCACACCGTGGGATCACCACTTGTTTGCAGCCAAGCAACGGTACACCGTCACTCTCAGCAACAGTACCATGCATCACTTGCCTGCAGTGGTGCATGGTACCACTGCAGGCAATGGACAGTGGTCCATTGGAGAAGCAACCATGGGCAACCTTGTACCATTGACAATCAACGATACACCGTCACTCTCGGCAACAGTACCATGCACCACTTGCCTGCAGACAAGCAACGGTACACCGTCGTCTTGCTTCTTTTCTGGTTATTTTCGAGTGGTTTCAGACCCCGGCCGTTGCTCCTATGTAGTTTCAGTACGTGACCAGAGACAAAAGGCAAGATAGAAACTGAGAGAGAGGGAGAGAGAGAGAAAGGGGGGAGAGGGAGAGAGAGAGAGAGAGAAAGGGGAAGAGGGAGAGAGAGAGAGAAAGGGGGAGAGGGAGAGAGAGAAAGGGGGGAGAGAGGGAGAGAGAGAGAGAAAGGGGGGGAGAGGGAGAGGGAGAGAAGAGAGAGAGAGAGGGGAGAGAGGGAGAGAGAGAGAAAGAAAGGAGAGAGAGAGAGGAGAGAGAGAGAGAAAGAAGGGGAGAGAGAGAGAGAGAGAGAGAAAGGGGGGAGAGGGAGAGAGAGAGAGAGAGAGAGAGAGAGAGAGAGAGAGAGAGAGAGAGAGAGAGAGAGAGAGAGAAGAGAGAGAGAGAGAGAGAGAGAGAGAGAGAGAGAGAGAGAGAGAGAAGAGAGAGAGGGGGAGAGGGAGAGAGAGAGAGAGAGAAAGGAGGAGAGAGAAGAGAGAGAGAGAGAGAGAGAAAGAGAGAGAGAGAGAGAGAGAGAGAAAGAGGAGGGGGGGGGGACAGTACTAACAGGTCAGTGGGTTACCTACAACACAGAGACGGGAGCGAGTCTGTCCCCTCGTGGCTGACAGTTCAGTTTCAACACGACTTTGAGTGATCCATAAATCACGTCACTGTTATGAATCATGTTGGAAAAAGAAAGTCGCTCACCTTAAAACGTATCCCGAGTTCCACAAGCAGGAAAGTGATTATTCGGACATATTGGGCCCTGTAATGATATTACAGGAGCTAAATATAAATAATATTACAGGAGCGAATAATATTAAACGATCCAAAACTTGTGTAGTAATATTAACAACATTATTGTTGGTGTTAATATTACTAACATCAGATTTTCGACAAAATTGTGCAAAATCTGAAGATTTTTATGTTAAATATATATTAAAAGGGATACACGGCGTTGTCCGGGTCGGTTTCTCTCTCTCTCCCTCCCTCCCCCTCCCCCTCCCTCCCTATCCCCCCCTATCTCTCTCTCCCCCCCCTCCCTCCCTATCCCCCCCTATCTCTCTCTCTCCCCCCCCCTATCCCCTCCCTATCTCGCTCTCTCTCCCCCCTCCCCTCTCCCCCCCCCCCCTTCCTGCTCCAAGACTCCCAGATATAGAGGAACTCACCCCCCCCCCCCCCACCCACAGGAGCCGCGGTAATCCGGGCACGTTCGGAGAGGCGTCCTCGCCTTTAGATAAAACCAACACAATAGACGCCGTAATTCTTGCTTCACCCACTTCTGTTTTTTTTTCTGCGCCTTCTATTTTCCCCCAACTTCTTGCTCGTAATATTTTTGTGGTTGGATTATGTGCCGCCTCCATTATTATTGTCGGAGTTTACAATACCTGACTTGAACTTGGCGTTGAAAACATTCACCCGAGACCAACAAATATCCCGCTTCCGTCTTCAGTATATTCTTCTGGAGTCGTGTTTGTATTCAATATTCTTGTTCACTCCTCATGAAGGTAATTCAGGAACCGTGTTAAAATGAAGAGTAATTGGCTGTACCTGAGTTACAGGAGTCTGTTGCCAGAGTAAATGATTGTTATGTTGCCTTAGAAGCTGAGTTATCTTGGGCATGGTGTTGGAGTGTGTGTGTGTGTGTGTGTGTGTGTGTGTGTGTGTGTGTGTAATTGGTGAATTTGTATATATGGTTAGGTTAGGTTGGACTAGGTAAGGTTAGGCTGGACTAGGTAAGGTTAAGTTAGATTAGGTTATACTAGGTTGGGATGGGTTGGGTTAGGTTGAGTTTGGTGAGGATAAGTTAGGTGGGCTTGGGTTAGATTATGCATACTTGAATACAACCACAAATTTGTTGGCGAGTCTTGTTTTGCGTGGACTGGTGTAGCGTGCATCGGGCCCGCTCGCCACACCCCCAGCATGCACCGGGCCCCTTCACCACACCCCCCAGCGGACACCTCACTGGCCACATACCTTGGCTGACGAAGACGTGGACAACGGCCGGCTGGGTGTTGGGGGCGACGCAGGTGTAGTTGCCGGAGTCCTTGGTGACAGCGTTGGATATCACCAGGCGGGAGGAGGTCTTAGTGCCGTAGTCAATGGTGACAGTCACGCCTCCCCGCTCAGTGTCGTAGTTGAGAAGGCGGTCGTTGTGTTTCCAATACACCACATGGGGCGGGATGGGCGTCTGGGGGGGACACAAGAAGAAATATCAAGCTGAGTATTGCTAATGTAAGGTAGAGGAACAAAATATAGTCTACAATGGGGTTTTAAATCGGGAGAATTCTTGCGGCTGGACCCGTGGAACGTTCGGCAACCAGAGGGAGAAAATATGGTTGAGAATAACAGTCAGAGACGAGCTTTTAATGGGTTGGTAAACCCCTTGAAAACTATTTTTTTTATAAATACGTGGAATAATATATATATAATTGTTGTTCACAATAATTTTGAGTAATGATTACAGCAGGGTCCTCTAAGGTCCCTGGGCAGGGATCCCCATACCGGCACACTATACTCTGGCACGGGGCGGACCTAAGGTGCTCAAGGTGCCGTGAGAATAGTCCTGTATAGGTTCCTCAAGGCCGTCCTCGAGAAAGCCAGCGTAGCAAAGGCTGCTGATTTGATATAATGCGTGTGGTGGTAGTCTGGGACGTAGCTCTGTAGTGTCGAGCGTGTGCGTGCGTGCGTGCGTGAGTTTGGAAACTGAGAGCAGAAGAGAGAACCCGCATTTTGACGAAACATAACCTTAAGGCAAAATCAAAATATTTGCTTGAAGCAATTCAAGAAGTTTTGGAAGAAAATATGGGGTATTGAGTTATAGCATAGTGAACAGAGAGGAATAAATAACGCAGGTTTAAGAAACCACAACTGCAGCTGTTAAATATATTGTCTGTTCCTGGCTGGAGGTGAGACATTCTATCTGAACCTACAGTGATTACTGAAGGGCATGTGCCTAACATATGTGTGTCTGGTTTAAAAAAACGAGTGTCACTTGATATGGCTCCAGGGCCACTCCTACGACGAATCTTGTTATTCGTATTCTGGCAAGTTGTTCTGTATGTTCTCTTACCAAGTAATTAAACAGTATGGGCCGATCACACCAAATAAATAAAAAATCATAGTACCTACCATTTAAAAGTTAGGTAAAACATGTCCATTGCTGGCTAGCAGACTTCATGATCACCAAGCCTTCATATATATTCCCTGGTGGACCTCCATGCACCCTCCCTCTCACAGGGTCACGTGTCCCTCTCTACCTCTCTCACCCTCTCCTCCATACACCTCCAGAGAAAGAGACAGCGAGAGAGAGAGAGAGAGAGAGCGAGAATGGAGATAGAAGGATGGAGACTGAGAGGTGGAGATAGTAATTATCAGAGGTGGTGCCGGTTCGAGAAGCCCATACAGAAGATGAGAGCGTAGGAGCGCCAGAGAAGGGATGTGCTAGCGTGGGTTGGGATGCTGTATGTGTTCTCATATTATCGGGTCTCCCGGAACACCTCCGGGTGGGTACCCAGCCGAGTATATAATAAAAGTAAGTGCCGATAAGGATAGAAGGAACGAGGAGGAAGAGGGAAGGTAATGGCTTTCCGGTTTACCTGGAATTTAATTTTGCGGCTGTTAGGAGGAAGTTTTGGCTGGCACCTCGCTGGTGACGCAAGAAAACGTGATCTGTATGTATATAAAACTGGTTCCCGCTGGCGTGCTTGTGCAGACCCGAGCGGTATGTGTCTCTCGTCTGTGGCAAGGTGCCCAAACACCACTGATGACAACCTGTATGTCAAGTGTATTTTTGACTGCTGACTTACGATCGTTCATTACACAAACAACAATTAGTTCTTAACCCTTAACCTTATGGAGTTCATATACATCACTCATATAAATATATTATTTTTAAGGTGGGCATTTCGAACTTAAAACTTTTTCCATTTTTAGGATTATTTTCAAGTCATGAAAGATTTGAAATATTAGTTTCTTTATAAATATCTCAGAAGTTGCAAGGAGGTGGAGCCAATCGAAGCCAGTGTCATAACGACCAGAACACACACTTGTATCTCACAGGACCTGAAGATGCAGCTATCTGTACGACTCTTCTTGCAGTCTTAGAACAAATCGACAAGAGATCAGTAGAACATCTAGCGCACACTACGTCACACAACCATACTCTCAAAAACACTATACTCTCATACACACATTATACTTCCATACACACACACACACACACACTTCAATCATACACGCTTACACTACATACTCACACACCACTAACACGCTTACCCTACATACTCTCACACACTACTTACACTACATACTCACACACACTTCACTAACTCACACTCACACACACTTCACTAACTCTCTCACACACACACTATGCATGCCAATGCATAGAGAAGGTTTTCCAGCTCGGCCCAGTACAATAAAGACAAAAGTCAATTGATCAAGGTAGTATTCAGGGACGAGGCCACCAAAGACGACATGCTAGTATAGAAGAGCAAACTGCAAAATGAAATGGAATACAGAAAGGTCTTCTTCAGAGGGATGTCAAGGGCTCTTATTAAGGCAACCCGTCCTCGACTCAAGTCCATTACATCCAGCGGTCGACCCCACAGACGTATTCATAAATTTTTACATGCTGTTCATCCAAAACGGGAATTTCTTCAAATATAAATTAATATTATAATATATTAGCATTTTGTGCGTGTATAGGCATAGGTTAGGTTAGGTGTTTAGGTTCTGTTGGCGATTATTTGTATTTGGAGTACGTGGATGAAGCATTTACAGCGTGTGATTGGTTCGCCAGTGAAGCACTTGTTCCGGATATGTTCGAACATCTGTGAGTCGTGTGAAGCATAAACAGGGGGTTTGGCGGGTGCATGGAATCACTTTTGAATCTTTGTTTGGAGGATGATTTACAGCGTTGTGGTTCGAACAAAATTCGTCAGTGAAGCACTTGTTCCGGATGAGTTCGAACAGAATCAGTTGTGAGTCGTGTGTAAACCGTTTTTCATTCATAAACAGCTGGGGTTTGGCGGGTGGATGGAATTACTTTTGGGTCTTTGCAGGACGGGCTGGCATTAAGGTTAGGGCCTTTCTCGCCTCTGCTCCTCACACTCACAACTTCTCGAGCCAATTATTCCATCACGTCTAAATAATAAGTAACTATAATTACTAAAACATTTTGATCATATGGGGGACACACACGAATCCTATTTTAGTTCAATATTATTACAATTCAGAGTTGTTCGCTTCATTGTTGATGGTGCGTCCATAAGTGAGCTTCTCAAGGAAAAACTGGGAAGCGTAAAGAGATCAGCCGTGGCCAGACACTACCAAAGAAAATCTCATACATAAATTTCCATAGCTCCCGTTGGCCCGGGGTAAGTGAATATTGTGAACGTTGCAACATCAGGATGGTTGCAATACGGCGAAGAACGCTGGGCATCTCCTGTGGGTGGGGAGGCAGAGTGTGTGCTTACTTAATTGTTCTCAACTATTTGTGCTTATGGAAGGTTGAGACCTCACGTCACGAGTTGAAAGATCCTTAGGTTAATCTTCAATTGTTTAGTCCAGCGTCTCTACTTTCAGTCTACTGGTGTACATGTTGCCGTGCTTTTTGTGTTCAGTGTAATCTACATATCTACTTTGTAATTTGTATTTGGAGTCTACTTCTATCGCTTCATTTCCTAGTGCATTCCTTTTGGACGATATTCTGTCTTTAAACAAATATTTACATCTCTGTGGCTCAGCTGGTCAGTCAGGTTCGTCTCGTGTCCACGTGTTCCTGTATCACAGATTCCAAGTTATTTGTCCTTTTCTTCCCTGTATATTTCACAGGAGATTTTGTTATATGGTAATCATGTCTAACTTGACTATTTTTATTCCTGTGATGTGAGGTTTAATTCTAAGTCTTTCCTTGTAATTTCTTCCTCTGAGCTCTAGTGCTCATCTAATTGAACATTTCTTAATTTTCTCCAGTTTAATTTGTGTTTATTAACGAAATAAGAGCAATCCGCTGTTGTCATATTTTTCAGTATTGGTCTAACATGTCTGGTCAACCTAGTTGATTCAACTGATGAAAATTACGTTCGTTTTCTTTGGACATGGAGAGAGGTTCAGTCTTTTTCTCTGCAGTAGCGTTAGATTCAAGTTCAAGTATGTTTATTAAGACAAAATACATCTCAAAGGGATAGAGTAGTTTAGGCTGTTTCTACCCCCCCCCCCAGTAGCGTTAATTTACCCTTGCGTTTGATACTTTGTGTCCAACTTTCTGATGCAAAGAAAAAAAATCTCAAAATCACAAAAGTTCAAATATGTTAGCCCCTTAGAATCCCCTTACCCGTTCACCCTATTTTTTCTCTTGTACTCCTCTCTTACTCTCTTTCTCTATCTTTCTAATCCATAGGTGATGTTGAGCATACTTTCCCAGTACTAATATCACATGTTACCTAGCAGTAAAATAGGTACCTGGGTGTTAGTCAGCTGTCACGGGTTACTTCCTGGGGGTGGAGGCCTGGTCGAAGACCGGGCCGCGGAGACACTTAAAAAAAAAAAATCATCTCAAGATAACGCTTATCTGGATGTTGAGACATGCTGTCCCAAACCTTGTATATATATACTGTCTCGTTGAAGAATCTCAACACCTCCTCCACCTAGGGGCCTCGTAGCCTGGTGGATAGCGCGCAGGACTCGTAATTCTGTGGCGCGGGTTCGATTCCCGCACGAGGCAGAAACAAATGGGCAAAGTTTCTTTCACCCTGAATGCCCCTGTTACCTAGCAGTAAATAGGTACCTGGGAGTTAGTCAGCTGTCACGGGCTGCTTCCTGGGGGTGGAGGCCTGGTCGAGGACCGGGCCGCGGGGACACTAAAGCCCCGAAATCATCTCAAGATAACCTCAAGATAACCTTCATCTCACACCGCTCTATATAATCTCATCTCGTGGTCATAGCTTTTTTTACACAGGCAAATTTATTGTTGTATTTATCAACAACTTTTGTCTCTACCAAGGTCATTATCGTTATTAATGGTATTGTTATTTTTAGTATGATTGGTAGTCATAAAGAATGTCTTTATTCTTCACAAAACACACATTTTTCACGCAAAATTGTGACTGCGCCGACCAGTCGTGAGTCACAAATGATGTTATCGGTGATAATATTTTTCAACTTTAAATAAAAAAAAATAAAAAT